AACTTTAGCAAATGTATTACTCAGTAACCACCTTGTATATAAATACGTAGTCAAAGCCTTTAGTTTCCCTATGGCAAGACTCTTGTAAGAGTAACTCCTTGATTTAATGCCAACTGTGTTTTCACAAGATAACCTAGTTACTGAGTGATAGATTTTTTTTTATGTTGTTCAATTCCCTTTGAATTATTCTACATTTCACACACACACACACACACACACACACACACTCTCTCTCTCTCTCTCTCTCTCTCTCTCTCTCTCTCTTTCTCTCTCTTCCCCAAATTGGTATCTTATTGTGCCTACTTATTTTTTTATTGCATTTTAGGTTTTGGGGTACATGTGAAGAACATGCAAGATTGTTGCCTAGGTACACACGTGGCAGTGTGATTTGCTGCCTTCCTCCCCTTCACCTATATCTGGCATTTCTCCCCGTGCTGTCTCTCCCCAACTCCCCAACCCCTGCTGGGGATATTTAGATATTCAAAATATCTAAATAGTATTTAGATATTCAAAAGACTCTTGTGCCTTTTGATGCTTCAGGAGACTTCATTTATTTATTCATTTACTTTATTCAAGAAATATTTATTTGGGCCAGGCACGGTGGCTCAAGCCTGTAATCTCAGCACTTTGGGAGGCTGAGGCGGGTGGATCACGAGGTCAAGAGTCGAGACCATCCTGGTCAACATGATGAAACCCCGTCTCTACTAAAAAAATACAAAAAATTAGCTGGTCATGGTGGCGCATGCCTGTAATCCCAGCTACTTGGGAGGCTGAGGCAGGAGAATTGCCTGAACCCAGGAGGCAGAGGTTGCGGTGAGCCGAGATCACGCCATTGCTCTCCAGCCTGGTAACAAGAGCGAAACTCCCTCTCAAAAAAAAAAAAAAAAGAAAAGAAAAAAGAAATATTTATTGAGGACCTACTACTGTATGTGATAAGCATTCATCTAAGTACAGGAGATGCAGCAGTGAACACGTAGCACTAATGAAATTTACATCTAGTTGGAGGGGATAGATGATTTAATAACAGATTGATAAACAAGAATAGCAAACAATGAGAATTTAAATAATGTAGGATAAGAACATGATGTGTGAGGACCACTTTAGGTGGAGCAGTCAGAGATGGCCTGCTTGAGCAGGGGATGTGGAAGCTGATCAGCCACATGCCAATGAGGGGAGAGTATTTCAGATGGGGCAGTTAGAACTTGGTATGCTTCAGGAGTGCCAAGGATGCTGGTGAGAGGAACCTAATTGTAGGGGATTACAAGGGCTCAGGTTTTATTCTCAGTTCAATGAAAAGCCAAGTAGGGTAGCTAAGATGTTAATATACTTTGCTAAAAGTTTATGGCTGCTCTGTGGAGAATGAATTGCAAAGGGGTAAATATGGGGCCAGAGAGATCAGTTAGGGACTATGGCAATAATTCAGGTGAGAGATGGCAGAGTTTGGACCAGTGTGGTAGTAATGGAGATAGAAATAAACAGATTGGGATATAGGATTTTGGAAGTCAGGTTGGTAGAACTTGACTGTGCAACTGAATGTGAGTTGAAGGAAACAGAAATTTAGAGTAATTCCTAAGTGTTTGGTTTGAGTAACTGTGGAGATGGTACTCCATATGTTGGAAAACAGGCAGGGAGTAAGGTGAGGCAAGGTAAGATGGGTAGGGTCTTAGGAATTCTGTTTTCACCATTTTAAGTTGTCTAGATATCCACATGGAATTGTCAAGTAGGCAGTTTAATTTAAAATTCAAAAGGAGATCTCATTTGGGAGGCCGAGGAGGCGGAACATGAGGTCAGGAATTCAAGACCAGCCGGGCCAACATGAGGAAACACTGTCTCTACTAAAAACACAAAAATTAGCTGGATGTGGTGGCAGGTGCCTATAATCCCAGCTACTCGGGAGGCTGAGGCAGGAGAATCACTTGAACCTGGAGGAGGAGCAGAGATCGTGCCATTTTATTCCAGCCTGGGCAACAAGAGCAAGCAAGACTCTATCTCAAAAAAAAAAAAAAAAAAAAAAAAAAGAGAGAGATCTCAAGTTTCCATTAAGAAGATAAGAAATAAGTTGGGGCTAAGTTTTAGGTTTTAGGTGTGTCGCTGAAATTGTTAAAATGCCTATTTTTATATTGATTTAATAATTTAGTAACATGTCCATATTTAAGATCACATCAGATATGTTGACTTAGAAATATTGATTTTCTTCTGTCTTTTCTTTCCAAACAACAATTTTATTTGAAAGATTCCTATACACCTCTGGAAGCTCCGTATGCGTTTTTAGCATCAGTGTCTTTGGCACTATTACTGTAATTTTGGGGGCTACATAAGCAAATTCCAGAGTGCATCACCTTCACTTGTAAGGTTGTGAGATAACGAATTATCTTAATTAATATATGTTGTCCTCACTGGGAATTTTGTCCTAAGTCACAGCATGCGACTATAAAACATTAGGACAATTATATAGTTTTTAAAACCTGTGTAGGTATATGCTTGTGATTTATATAATACACTTACCTACCACATTGCTTTTGTGCCTCTTCCAATTTGTAATACCTCTTTATCATAAAGTTAGTCAATTCATAAGGCAAGTAAGGTTGTTTTTCTTTAAATTACTCATTGGATTTTTTTTTAATTTAAACTAAAATTTTTTTAATTGACGAAATTTTTATATATTTAAGGTATATAACATGTTTTGATGTAACATTGTGGAATGGCTAAGTCAAGCTAATTTACATATGCATTGCCTCGTACTTATCTTTTTTTGTGGTGAGAACCCTTAATATCTTCTCTTTCAGCAATTTTTGAATACACAATACATTATTATTAACTATAGTCACCATATTTACAAGGGATCTCTTGAACGTATTTTTCCTAAACTTTTTAAAGACTTTTATAACTGTATCCAACTCTTGAAATTATAAGTGAGGTAATATTTTTATCTTTTCATTTTAACACATTGCATTCTAGAGGGGCTATCATTTCAGGGTAATGTATATTTCACAAATAATACATCATTGTTTAAACTTAAATAATTAGGGGAACATTCCATATATGAAGGACTTAGTAAAGACTCAGAAATAAGACAGTGTGTTCTTTTCAACTCTTTTGCATCTTCTTTTTTCACTTAATTAATTTGTATCATACATATCAGTATATATAATCAATCATGTTTTAATGTCTGCCTAGTGTTCCCTTGTATAAATGTACCATGATGTATTTGGTCAGTCTTCTATTGATGATATTAGGTTGCTTTTTTGCTATAGCAAACAGTACTTCTTATATATAGTAAATACCCTTGTATTTCCTTTGCCACATGTGCAAAATCTCTGGAACAAAGAATAGATACATTTAAAATTTGTTAGATATTGCCTACTTGGTCCTCCAAAGAAGTAATACCAATAATTACAGCCAAAAACACTGGAGAGTGACTATATCCCTCTAGTTTCTCCAAAATAGTACATTGTCAAACATTTTTATCCTGACCTTTTGTTTCGTATAAACAATCATTGTAGATTTGAGATTGCATTGCTTTTATTATAGGCAAATTATTTGAAATATCCTCAGTTATAGCAAGTTTTTGTCTTTTGAAGCCAAGTTTGAGTTTTCAAAAGGGTCAAGTCTTATGAGAATATAGATAATTAAATTAGCTGTTACCATAGGTTTTTTTTTGGTTTTTGTTTTATTTGTTCATTTTGGGAGGAGGAGTGAGAAATAAGACTGAATTTTTAGATAACATTAGTATTTTTATTTGGATTATAAATCGTTTCAGAATTGGTTTCAAAAGAAGAGTTCTAAAAATATCTAGAGTAATGTTACCTATAACTGTATAAGATGACAGCTTTCTAAGGGGAATTGTTTGGATTGAACAGCACGCTTTGGATTGTGCAGGATCTGGTATGTTTGTTTTAAAATGTCACCTACTGTGCAGGCTTTAGCTCAAATGGGTTTCTTTCATTGAAGTGTATGTTAAAAACATAAATGCCTTCAGTTTTCTTGGACTGCATTTTTAAACTTAGATAAAGCCTATTTTAAAATAGTTGTAGATAATCTAGAAAAAGAGATCATTTTTTACCATTATTAAATAAACATTATTGGGATAATATTTACAGAAGTCTGATTTTTTTACAGAAGATTAAATTATTTGTATTTTTCATTAAACCTTCTAAATCTTATCTACTTTTGCAATATAGACATGACTATCTAAAATAGCCATAGTAGCAAGCCAAATTTAGACAAATACTTGTTTTAGTTTTCAAATATATTTAATTTCAGAGCAAGTTGTGTGTTTTAAACATCAAATTAACATCCATATTTATGTTTTCCTAAAACTATTGGCAAATTTAGTGTCTTTTACTTTTTAATATAAACTTATTTGGGGAGAAGCAGACTTAATGCTTGGCATGCTGCAATCAGATATATATATTTATGTATACAGAAGTCCTTCTTTATTAAGATGTTCATTGAAGCAATTGTTGTCTATTGTTTTTCAAAATAAAATTGTCTTTTTTTTTTTTGAGAGAGAATCTCACTTTGTTACCCAGGCTAAGGGGCAGTGGTGCAGTGGTGCGATCATACCTCACCACAGCCTCAAACTCCTGGGCTCAAACAATCCTCCTGCCTCAGTCTCTTGAGTGCTTAGGATTACAGGCACATGCTACCATGCCCAGCTAATTTTTTAATTTTTTACTGGAGACAGAATTTTTTCACTAGCTTTCCCAAATTGGTCTCCAACACCTGGCCTCATGCAGTCCTCCAACCTCAGCCTCCCAAGGTGCTGGAATTACAGGTGTGAACCACTCTGCCTGGCCAAAATTATATGTCTTAAGTAAACTATCTTAAACTGTAAGATTCCTGTTTTACAGATTATACTGTAAGATTCCTGTTTTTATTTTCTATGACATATCAAATTATTGTCTCATCAGTTTACCATGAGAATATTTTTAGCAGCTTTCAGGCATAGCACCCCTCCTCCTTAAGGATCTAATGTGTCTGCATGTTCTGTTCTGCAGAGAAATGGTCAATGCATGGTTTGCTGAGAGAGTTCACACCATCCCTGTGTGCAAGGAAGGTATCAGAGGCCACACCGAATCTTGCTCTTGTCCCTTGCAGCAGAGTCCTCGTGCAGATAACAGTGCCCCTGGAACACCAACCAGGAAAATCTCTGCCTCTGAATTTGACCGGCCTCTTAGACCCATTGTTGTCAAGGATTCTGAGGGAACTGTGAGCTTTCTCTCTGACTCAGAAAAGAAGGAACAGATGCCTCTAACCCCTCCAAGGTTTGATCATGATGAAGGGGACCAGTGCTCAAGACTCCTGGAATTAGTGAAGGATATTTCTAGTCATTTGGACGTCACAGCCTTATGTCACAAAATTTTCTTGCATATCCATGGACTCATTTCCGCTGACCGCTATTCCCTGTTCCTTGTCTGTGAAGACAGCTCCAACGACAAGTTTCTTATCAGCCGCCTCTTTGATGTTGCTGAAGGTTCAACACTGGAAGAAGCTTCAAATAACTGTATCCGCTTAGAATGGAACAAAGGCATTGTGGGACATGTGGCAGCTTTTGGTGAGCCCTTGAACATCAAAGATGCATATGAGGTAAACAGGGGACCATGAGAGCAGGACAGGTGCGGGGGAGGGCACTATGGCTGGGGCATTGGATAACAGTTGTGAATAGTGGGGATATTCGAAACTGAGATGTAATAATTTGCATACTTATTTAAAACTGGAATGTACACCAAGAATTTCCCCCTCTTTTAATTGCTAGAGTTTCTTTCCTGGTGGTTCAGTTGAGGATATGAGCATTAAGGAACTCTCATCTTGTTTTTCTCTTTAGTGATAATTTAATATAGCTCATCTCATGGTTATATTCTCCCATCTTTTTATCTGATCACTATGCATATCCCCATCTATGTTATCCCCACAGAAACCTCTTAGGATTTTACCGAGATTCTAAAATGATAGGTGCAAAAACAAAAGAATAAACTTATAGTCTCTTTTCATTCATTCATTCAATTAATCATATTCATTCAAAGTCCCATTGATACCAAAGTCTGGTTTTCTTTCCTTCTATCCTTTCTTTCATTTATTAAACAGGTAAACTTACAGATGTCTTCAGAAAAATGGAAACTTTTGCTCTAAAATTTTGCAGTGGAAATATTTGATATTTCTTCTATTTTTGCTAACCTAGGCACAAGTCTTTAATTAAGGTCTTAAAGATTACACTGTAAGATTCTTCAAATTTCCCATTAAAAATAATCCTTTTTATTAATTAATTCTATTAATTTTTATTAATAGAATTCTAGTTTTAAAACAAAGCATCTTAACTGAATGGCACTTTATATGTTTATGAGGTATCTTACAGGATTTTGATACAACAATTGTTATAGCTTTCTACTATGTGGTACACTATAAAGATCCAGTGGTAATTCTGACTCAATGCATTTAATTCAGAGAGTCATAGTTGTTTTATTTACCCTTGTGTTCCTGGTGCCTTAGAGTGCCTGGCACATAGGGCTTAGTAAATATTGATTGAATAAAAATAATAGTAGATGCAATAGATAGATAGAATAGAGAGCAGGTCGTAACAGATGCCAAGAAAAATGTGGTAGGGTTCAGAGAAGCAGGTTAGGACATCTAGTGGGAAAGATGGAAGAAGATTTCTTTGAGGGAGCAATGCCTGATATAGATCCTGGAAAATACATAAGATTTGAATAAATTGAGATTTGTGCATGGTGAGATCCAGAGGTAAAGAGAAGTTAGAAGAGATAGGCAAGTAGGGCCATGGAAAGTGTGTGGATAAGAATCTGTGCTCGCACAGCCAGGAAATTACTGAGGTCTTGAATGCCAGGCTGAAGAATATGTATTGGTTTAGAAACATGAAGAGTAACTGAAGATGTTTTGAAAGGGAAACCAGTATGATTTAAACTGTGCTTCGGAAGGGTGAATTTTACAGTAGTCATAAAATGAATTAGAGGGGAAAATACTAGAAGTTGGGAGGATAGAAGATTATCTTAATAGTCTAAGTATGAGGAACTAAGGACCTGAATAAGAACCCTGGCATGAAAGATCAAAAGGAGGGAATGGATTTCAGGCAAAGAAGTATTAGGTTAACGCAAAAGTAATCGCCATTACTTTTAATGGCAAAAACCATGATTACTTTTGCACCAACCTAATATTATCTGCTGAACTTGACAGCTAATAGGAGATGTAAATGAGGGGAAAAGGGAGTTGAAGATGACCCAGGTTTTGAAGCTGGGTAAATGAATATGGTACCAGTGAGTAAAACCGAGGGCAGGGATTTGGGGTTGTCATAATTCTTCTAGGTTAAGTCCTGATTTGGGGTGTGATAGTTCATCTAGGTTAAGTCCTGAAATATTTTTTTCAGAATCCATTCTATATAAGCAATGTGTTCAATTTTGATTCTCTTGGAAAAATTTACTGGTCTTCACAGAGTATCTCTATGACCTCTTTGAGCTCTGTAGTAACATCACACCGTAGCAGATTCCAAGAGGGGTATTAAGGACACAGCTGAAGGATTGCTGCCAAATTTGCAGAATTCCCTTCCTGTCTTAACTGACAGCTGGGTATCCACTTTTCAATGGCACTATGGTCCCAACAGTACAGTAGGATCATAAATATTCTCCTGCTTTGTTGAGAAAGCCTTCATTTATTTTCATAGTCCTAAGTGTCTCCAGCCCTGAGAATTCTTCACTTGTATGCGTTTTATTTACTCTGCCTACTATCTTCAAAGTTTTGACAGTGTGTTTTCTGTTTTGCGTTTGACAATGATTTAATTATTGTAGTACTATTTAACAGCTAGTGTCCTTAATTTGCACTGCTTCCAGGGTAATGCCTCTTAGCCTGTGGGTTTCTCATGTTGCTACTTCACCTTTGGTACCATTGATCTGTATTTATAGTAGCCTTGCAGGAGTTATTTCATGTTCCAAGAATTTCATTAGAACTTGTGGGGGGTTGATCTGTGATCTAATTTACATTGTGATCTAATTTATATTGGGATTAGCAGTGGAAGTCAGTTGGCTAATGGATAATTCATTACTAAGCACCATCCATAATTTGAATAATAAAAATACTTTTTGAAAGTAGTCAGGATATGAAAATATATTCTAGTGTTTTCTGAGTCCTAGCTCTTTAAACATGGGTCTGTAAAAATGACACTGTTTGGCATTTTTTGAAAATAGTCAGGATATGAGAATAAATATGAAATGACACTGTATGTCCTTTTTGAAAGTAGTCAGGATATAAAAATATGTTCTAGGCCGGGCACGGTGGCTCACGCCTGTAATCCAAGCACTTTGGGAGGCTGAGGCGGGTAGATCACGAGGTCAAGAGATTGAGACCATCCTGGTCAACGTGGTGAAACCCCGTCTCTACTAAAAATACAAAAAATTAGCTGGGCATGGTGGTGCGTGCCTGTAATTCAAGCTACTCAGGAGGCTGAGGCAGGAGTATTGCCTGAATCCAGGAGGCGGAGGTTGAGGTGAGCCGAGATTGCGCCATTGCACTCCAGCTTGGGTAACAAGAGCGAAACTCCGTCTCAAAAAAAAAAAAAAAAAAATGTTCTAATGTTTTCTGAGTCCTAGCTCTTTAAACATACATCTGTATAAATGACACTGTATGGCAGTATTTCTTAAGCTTATTTGACCATACAGCACTTTAAAGGTTGTAATGTCACTGTGGGAAACCAAGAGAGGTGGCTGTGAAATAGAATAATACTCAGATTGATGCTGAGAAATTTTTTAAAAGTCTCATAAAGTTAATTATAAGAAATGACCTATATTTAGTTCACTTTTAAAACTTTGTAACAGAAGATGATACAAAGTTATATAAATTTGAAAAATTCTATTGTTTTATTACTGATAAGATAGTCATATATTTAAAATACAAGACAAGGTCCACTACTCAGACCAGTGATTCTCATGTAGATCATAAATACTAATGAAAAGATTAGTTGGTAAATACTACCTGTACATTGATGTTCAGTCACACATGGTCTCATACATCAGCCCATCATCATGCAATCACCTTGAATGTGCGACACCATGTATGTATGTATTTTAATACAGAGTCTCACAGTGTTGCCCAGATTGGAGTCCTGGATTAGGCAATCCACTCACTTCAACTGCATGAGAAGAGGGCTATGGTCCTGAGTAGGTGGGACCACAGGTGTATACCACTGCACCCGGCTTGGCACAGCACTTATGAATAACAAGAATATATTGACATATTTATTAATAAGACATTAACACTTATACTAAGAAACTACTAATAGTAAGATATATAATCAGAACTACTATATAAAGTGCTTGGTATTTTCCTTTTATATGAAAACTATCACATCAGTACCTACACAGGATTGCCTTGAACCCCATTCCATGTCCTAAAGAAGTCTTAAATTTTCCCAGGATTCCTATGCCTTAAGGATTTACATTGTCAAAACATCTCTCCTTCTCCCAAGTCAATCAGAATGCAAAACTCAGACTCACCTCCTGTTTCTACTCCAGGACAGACACTCCATGTGAACCATGATTTCTAGAGAGAAAACTTGGAGGGTCCTAGGAAATGGTTGAATTGCTACTTATGTGGCTTTGACCATGTAGCTATTATTCCTCCCTTCCCCATTTCATCTTTCCCTTTCATTTTCCTTTTTCTCCAGAGAAACAAATTTTCGCCTTCTCTCACTGTGCAGGTCTCACTTTCTACTTCAACTATTTATCAAGACATTTTTCTAAAGAAATACGAACTGTTTCAAGTGAATTTCAGATGAATAAAGTTATTTCCAAATGAATTTTATAAGAAAAAGAAAACTCCTAGCTATTGTTGTAACTTAGACAATCTACTAATTGTAGTGTAATTGTGCCCCTAGGAACACAGTTGGGGAACTGCTGTATCTACGTTTGTTCAATGTTCTAATAACTTTCAGGCATTATCTTAAACATTCCACTCTATGGAAGAAAACACAGATATCAAGTCATCTGTGTTGTTTCCTTTAAATTCTCTGTTCTTTTTATTTTGATATAATTTTAAACTCAACGAAAAGTTGTAAGACCAGTATAAGAAATTGCTGTACACCCTTCACTCAGATTCTCCAGTTGTTTTTTGCCCCGTTTGCTTTAAAATTTCCTCTCTTTCATTCTATAATGCATATAAGTAATATATGCATATTTTTTCTGAATGATTTAATAAAGATATGTTTTTACTAAATAGTTCAGTGTACATTTTCTAATAAGAATATTCTCTTACCTATCCATAATAAAATTATCCAAATCAGGAAATTTCATATTGATATAATACCGTTATCTAATCTGATACAAGACTATTATTTAATAGTTCATAGTCAACATTTTATCAGTTGTGCCATTAATAAGCTTTAGAGTTATTTCCCCCAAATCCAAGATCTAATTCAGATCCCAGATTGCACATAGTTGTAATGTCTTTTTAGTCTCTTTTCAATCTGAAACAGTTTCTCAGCCTTTCTTTATCTTTTTAAATTTAGACATTTTTGAAGGGAACGGGCCTGTTATTTTGTACGATGTCCTTCACAAATAGATTCAAGCTAAGCCCTTTTAGCTGGAATA